GGACGTGCTGGCAAAAACCCTCGGGGTGCCCGAGGCGCCGGCATGCATGGTGCCAGTCGCCTAGCTTTACCTAGGCTCCGCGTACGTGTTTTCTGCCGCTCGCGAAGCTCGGGCCGCTTCGGGCTCCCCTTGGCGGTTGTCGAGCCCTCAGCGAAGACTTTAGGGTTTAGGGGCTGGGTGGGGGGCTAGGGTTTAGGGTTTGGGGTTTAGGGTTTGGGGTGAGAAGAGTCTGAGGTCCGCTCTGGCGATTGCACAGGCTCCGCCACCTGGGTCGGGCTCAAGGTTTGAGAGACCGGGCTGCTTAGGGTTTAGGGGTTTAGTTAGGGGTAGGGTTAAGGGTTTAGGTTAGAGGCTTAAGGTTTATGGGTTTAGTCTTCAAGTTAAGGGTTCAGTGCTTACCGGTTTAGGGAAGGTTTAAGGTTTAACCCTTGCAAAACGCATGTGCCTGTCACCCTGCGAAAGCCCATAACCCTAAACCATAGCCCTGAAGTGAGTCCACAATCTTTGGAGCCCCAGGGACGGATGTACTTTGGTTAAGGGTTTAGGGTTTAGAGTCAGGGGTTTGGGGTAACCCCCTGACGAAATGAAGGATTGAAAATCCTACTTGCAAGAGCCCAAGAGCCCTGAACCCTACCTTACTTGCTTGTTATAGACACAGGCCATGACGTAGGCACAACACATCAGGGTCTGGGCAAACTTTTTTCCCAAAGCCCTGAACCTTAATCCCTAGACAAAGAGCCTATACATTCTAAATAGGGCCAACAGCTTAGCGGCCTTTCAAAGTTCGGGGCTTGCCTGAACCCCAAACAACCTGTTAGCCTTGAGGCTCCATGTACCTATCTAATTATATACTTACGTCTGAAAGTGCCGATTATATAGGGACTACTTTAAAGCCTAAGTATATCATATATACTTATATACTTATATACTTATATAGATATATACTATGTAACACTAAACCCTAAACCCTAACCCTAAACCCGAAAAAGGTTTAGGGCTTGGGGTTCAGAGGTGGGCCTCATCTGCGCAGCCGCTGCTGGTGGGGCCTTGCCCGCAAACCCAAACACGAAAGAAAGACAGGCCCGACTTTCTATCATTACAAAGGAAGTTGGAGTTTAGGGTTCAGGGTTTAGGAAGTTGGAGTTTAGGGTTCAGGGTTTAGGAAGTTGGAGTCTAGGGTTTAGGGAGTTGGGGTTTAGGGTTCAGGGTTTAGGAAGTTGGAGTTTAGGTTCAGGGTTTAGGAAGTTGGGGTTTAGGGTTTAGGGTTTAAGGTTTAGGGCTTAGGGTGTAGGGCTCAACAAAGGGAGTTGGGGTTTAAGGTTCAAGTTCAGGGCTCTTCGGGTTCGAGTTTAGGGGAACAAACACGTTTATGCTCACGTGATATTAAACCCGGGGCTTGAGCTCAGCGTTACCATGGTTCGCCTCTGCTGCGCTTACATGTCACCAAGGGGTTCAAGCATCTGCCACATAGTAGAAGGAATAAATTGGGAATATTACCATCCTCATGGCCTTAACGCCTCAGCACACATCATCCTAAACCCATGTTCCAACTTTCTGGGGTTCGCTCGAATGACGCTGAGGTCAGAAATGTGATCAGTAAGAAGGGCTGCTACTTCGGAAGCCCCAGAATGCGTCCCTATCAGGGGAGGCGGGGGACATATTTCTAGACTTCATGATTAATTATGTGGTTACTTGCTCGTCCTTAATGCTTTGAGAGACATTGTACCGTTTTTAGGTAGGCCTTTGGGCTCGCCAGGCTCAAAGAAGAGTCGAACTAGCTCGCGTTGATGGCTCCCAATATCAAAAACGGAAGATACGATTAAGCTCTCATATACGAACCCTACCTTCAATGTAGATCCTGAGCTCTGCTGCATACCTCAAGACACTAAACCCTAAAGACCCTGAACCTAAACCCCTATAAATCCTAAACCAGAAACCCTAAACCCTAAACCCTAAACCCGAAGCAGTACACCCAAAACCGTACGAAAGCCCTAAAGACCCTAAACCTAAACCCCTAAATCCTCAAACACAAAGGACTAAACCCACAACCGTACGAAAGCCCTAGAGACCCTAAACCTAAACCCCTAAATCCTCAAACCCGAAGCACTAAACCCCAAACCCCAAATCCTAAACCCTAAACCCTAAACCCTAAACCCTCAAACACAAAGCACTAAACCCAAAACCGTACGAAAGCCACTTTTCAATTCGAGGCCTTGCGCCGTACCGGCCAGAGGCTCGGATAGCGCGTCCAACCTAGGCACCAGCTACAGTTTAGGGTTTAGGGTTTAGGGTTTAGGGTTTAGGGTTTAGGGTTTAGCGTTTTTTTTTTAAAGTGCAATGACTCTTTTGCGTCTGCACGAGCCTGCCTCAGTAGAGGCCTACACAGGGTTTAGGGTTTAGGGTTTAAGGTTGAGGGTTTAGGGTTTAGGGTTTAGGCTTAAGTGGGCTTCTAGGATTTCCGGAACCCTAGGATACCTATCCGTTCAGGGCTCCATGATATAATTGCCGTGTGTATAGATCCGTAAAAAAATTGGGCTGTTTGAGGTTAGGGCTTAGCCTATGGGGTCCAAGCACCTAACAATGAGCAGCATCAGGTGCTCCCCCGATTCAAGACCACAGTGCTACTATCCCAAAAGCCTTTAGGGCAGGATATAGAGAGCTTAGCCCTTTTGAAGTCGGATGTAAAGAAAACATGAAAAGGGCATCGTGCCAAA